TTTTTTTTTTTTTTTTTTTTTTTTTTTAAAGATTCCCATACTGTGAATAGGAAGTACTACTTTACCACCTTGACTTTCAGATTTCTTAGTGTTGGGGACTGTTTTGGTTTCCATGTAGGTTGGGATGTCCCCCCAGCACTTTCCTTCACATTTTAACCCACAAAATTAATTCGTAAAGCACGGTCCTTAAGTAATCTCCAAGACCTGCATAAAAGTTGAACGGACTAACCTGCTATGCAGTTTTTGTTGCGATTCCAGCTGACATCATGTGTGTTCTCTCTGCGGGCCAGAGTTTGCTACTCATACATAGCCCGCTTATTTCTACGTGCAAATTACTTATTTGCACAAATGAGTGTTGGTGCATAGGTGAAGGTGGACGGCGCAGACTAGAAAAGCAGCCTCGTATGTTACCGTTATCTTTTGTTTTCTAATTTAACAATGTTTCTTGTTTTAAACTAGCAGGTAGAGATGTCGTGCAGAATCAGAGTACATCATGATAGACCCTTTTACAGAAGTGCCTGGTTTCTAAAGACACATCCCTCCAGAGAGGGATGTCCCGGACAGATCTCTTGTTCGATGGCACAGTTTTTGCTGAGGATAGAGTGTAATGCATGGGAGGACCTGCTTGCAGTGGTTCATGCAGCATGACTATGTGCAAGTTTGTTTATTGACATTATGCCTGGAGCTTTTTTTGAACTTAAAGGGTGTTTTTGTAACCACATTCAACATACGGTTTGGAAGAAGGAGGTCTGTGATTCTGGCTGTGTCAAATGAAACTTAAATTCAAGCTGTCTTAACTCCTGGGTCTACAGGAGCGTGACCTTTTTATTCTCGAAGTATGTGGTAACTGAGAAATCATTGTTATTTATCTCTAGTTAATGAACCTCAGGTGTCTCTTCCCACCTGCCAGAATAAGGAGCCTTCTGTGTGCACTCAGTTCAAGAAGACAGGTAAGCATGCCACATACCAAGCAGAAACCAGTGTATTCTCGCTTCATTAGTTTTCGTTGACCTTTATGCTGCAGTAGTGCCCAGGTCACCTGTGTGGCTTGTGGTATTTGTGTAATGTAGTGTAGACATCATGGTGTCAGGCCAAAATAAATAATTCTTTTTTTCCTTTGTATGAGTCCCTCTAGGAAACTCCCCACTTTACTGACTGCCTCAGACAGGTCAGTTCCTTAGGGGAGAATATGCAGTGGATGCTGACCTGTGTTCTGAGTAAGGCTGTCTCTACCCAGACCTTTCCAGCTGCCACCAGCCCTGCTGGGGTGACCTCTGGCAGAACATCAGTAGCTATGTACCCCAGGTACCTGGGCTCCTGTGGCAGACAGCACGTGTAGACCCATGGTGACCCACAGCTGGTTGGTTCCCCTCGTGGTAGATTTGTAAAGAGGCTTTCTACTTCTGTCCTTGCCTGGGGATGAATGGAAGCCTTTTCAAGATATGCTCAGCTTGTTTGGGATTTAAAGGTTGTTGTGGAAAAAAAACAAACAACCTGAATTACTGTTTATTTGCCTGTTCTTCTCCCTGATCTTATCTGTGATCTGAACAAAAAGCAGTGTGAAAGCTTGGAGATAATAAGCTTGAATGTTTGTTTTAACGTTTGCCTAAGGCATTAGGGTGTGATCTTTCATTTCAGAATCAAGTGAGAATTTGGAAGTGGAAAAATCAACCTCTAGGAAATCTGTCATAGTAGTAACCACTGCCTCTGGGGAGGACATAGAAGATGAGATTGTCGAAATGTACTTTGAAAATAAAAAGAAGTCTGGTGGTGGGACCATTGAGTCGTACATCAAAAAGGATCAGCAAATCATCATCACTTTTCAGAATGAGGAAGGTATGATCATATCTCATGGGTGTTATATTTAAAGCTCCCTTTTGAAAATAGGCCTTTGCTGGTTCTGGATCTCTCCATGGGCTTTGCTTCAGCAGAAATGGCTTATTATTCCCAAAGAGTGACAGGATGTAAAAGGAACAAATGTGCCTGTCTATCCAATGCAGATGTGGGTTTCTGACAGTGTTTGTAATAACCCCTGGGGAAAGAAGTGGTTCTCTAGAACTTCCCCAAATGCTTGATCAAGGCTCATAGAGAATAATGCAGGAGAAATGTCAGGAGCACTGCAAAGTAAGCTTTAGTTCTAGTTCAGAAGACCAGATAAAGCATAGTAGATTACTAGCTGCAGATCATAAGTAATTGTTATTTTGTTATGTTTTCTTTCATATTCATTTCAATTGCCAGTTTTGGAAACTGGAAGGAAAGGAGGTAGTAAATATTATGTATTTGTAAGACAGAGAGGTGAATGCTCACCTCTGTGGAGAAAATTATTTTAAAGTAGCCTTGGTTTATCTGTGGTTTACCTCCATTTTCCACTACACTAAAGTGCTGTTGGCTACTGTTACTACATGTAAAGGATGTATACAGAAAGAGGAAACTAAATATTTAACAAATATTTAACTATATTTGACTATTTGTTAAATAGACAAGGTAAGCAGGATAGAAAGCCCTTTCTTTACTTGCTATTTATTAGATGTTACTGATCTGGAGAACAGTTTCTTGCACTTGAGGGCAGTAGAAAGGAGGTAGCACTTACCTCAAAAAATAACTTTTTTTCCCTGGTGAGGCTGAGCACATCTAGATCATAGAGTAGCTTTTATCCTGACCCTAACTTTTGATGTGGTTTTGCCTTATTTATTTTTCTTCTGTGATATGAGAAAATGACTGGCCAGATTTTTAAAGCAGAGTGTAATTTAATGTTGCTCTGCTGTGGCAGGAGGGGAAGGGAAGATGACGTTTTTGTTTTCCTGTGGTACTAGATGCCCAAGAAGTTCTGCAAAGGAAACATCACTCAGTGAAGAAAATTGACCTGTTTGTGAAGCCATGGCAAGTGGAGGATTCTCAAGGATCCCTGTCTTCTACCGTAGTTGTGCTTGAAAATGTCCAGGAGACGGTAAAAGATTACATGCTAATTATGCTGGTAGAGAACATCAGTGGCTTGTCAGAGGAGGATGATGACTTCAGTGTGGAGATGATACCTGAAATACGTGCTGCTGTAGTTACTTTCACTGGAGATACTGGTAAGAAGGAGTCAGAGTTATGGATCTTTCTTATTAGCTACTTGTGTGTGAGGGAGACTAAGCAGGAAATGAATGTTTTCTATCATAGGTTTAAGGTGTAATCTGATATCATGTAATTTTAAATGAGGATTTACTCACTAAATTTATTGACAGCTTTTATCTGTAAGGTATAGAGGCCAGTGTAAGTCAGAAGAGGGCTAGCTCTGGATAGTAAACAGAACAAGTGGGACTAAAACTATAACTTTATACAAGCAACTAAAGAATGTACTTAGTCTTAGAGCAGATCAGTGATAAAGGCTCTCCTTGCCTAAAAGTGTTATATGTGTAGTAAGTTTGTATGGATTTGAAGGAAAATTGAACAAGTACATGGAACAGAGCTTTTTAAGGTTGTTAAATAGACTTGGGAAATCTACTGTAACAGATTGGAAGCAGGGAGAGGATTAGGGAAGCAGCATCTTCTTACTGCTATTGTCCATATACCTTCCGTGGCCATTGCTGGAGACGGGGTGCTGGGCTGGGCAGGCCCTGGGGTGCTGAGGCAGGTCCAGCTGTCCTGCAGAGTGGCAGCTGTCAGTTATGTAAAGCGTGGGATTAACACCATATGCTTTGCCTCATTCTGCCATTCCAACTACTTGTTAAGCTACTGCATGCCCACTGTTGTTTTTTAGTGTGTTTGATACCAAATGCTTCTGCCTTATTAGTGATTGATGGCAGAGGCATCTTTCAGGTGACAGAGAGGTGTCTGCTCCTACTTCTCACCAGTGAGAGGTTGAGGGGACTTCCTGGGTGACTTATGGTTGATATTATTAACAAATTCCATCCAGGACATGGGCAACAGTAAGTGGTATGATAAAACCAGATTCAGAAACAGTGTAAGCCAATAGTTGATGTCACAGAGATAACAGCACTGCATTACCAGGAGAACTGAATTAAACTGCCAGTGGTGAACTGGTTCCAGGATTCTGAGTGCTGCTGCACTTGAGTCCCTTTGTGGACAACGTGATTATACGTGTGCTTGATTCAGGGTGAGGAGATGGCACAGGAGAATTCTATCTTATGTGTGGAAAAACTGTAAATCTCTTTAGGAGATAGAACATGATGAAAACAAGTTATATGCCACTTTGAATCAATTTCATGGGAATAGTTGTACTACTGGTAATGTGTAAGAATGAAGTGGGTCGGAAATTTTAAAGTTGTGAAAGGATTACTCTGTGGTATAATGAAATTAAAGAATTTTTTTCAGTTTCTGAGAAGATGTAGGGTTTTCTGCTTTAGAACTCAGAAAATTTTTGCCTCTTGTATTGTGGTCCAGTCTGAAATTCTTGTTGCAGCCTTTAGGAAATAAGAAGATCCTTAAAAAACTTAATTGTGTGTTTGTCTGACAGATGTAAAAGTAACTTGACTATCTTTTACTGTGATGATAACGGGGCAAAAATAGAATGTGTTTATCATAAAACTGGAAGAATCCAAATTTGAACTGGCAACTAATATCTGATTAGTTGTGTATAAAGCCGTGGCCCAGAACCAAACCTGATCTTATTCTCTTTTGGGATTAGAGAGACCCAGTGCTATTCAGTAGGAGAAATAGTGGCGAATTCTGGCTACAGTAGTTGTAGTCAAGTAGTGATTAACCATGTGGTGAATACTAGGTGACAGATACTGAATATGTGGAAAGAAGTAGCTTTGTGGGCACCTCAAGAGTTGATAGGTGCTTTGTAATTCAGTGCTTTGGTCAATGCACACAGCAATAGTCTGCTAACATCATAGTAGAAAAGCAAGCTACTAGTTTGATCTTGGGGTGGTTTGGTTTTGTGTTTTGTTTTTTTTTTTTTCTCCTTTCTTTTCTTTTTAGATGCAGGGGAATTTGCTAAAAAGCTTAATCAACACCACAGAGCAAAGAAACAAAATATTACTGCACGGTGCCTTGAGCTAACAAAAAGCATTAGAGCTGAAAATATACCAACTAACACACCCAGTGACTATATAACAGTTTACTTTGAAAATAAGAGGAACGGAGGTGCGCAAGTGGTGGATGTTCAGCAGCTGCCTGATGAAGATGCAGCTATCATTACATTCAGTGACCATAAAGGTAATGCAGAAATACAAAGCCCTTCTTTAAGATCCTTTCACTTAAAGATCAAAATGTGGATTTTCTAGAGAAATGCCTACTTTGCCCACATAAAACAGTAGATCTGGTGCTTTGTCAGCAGGTCTCTGCTAACTGGAGTGCAAGCTTAAGTTTGGACCAGCTGGGAATAAGGCATAGACTTTTTTCCTTTTCATACACAGTTTCTTTCACCCAGGCCTTGATCCATATCAGGTTATAGTTTGAGTTCAATAGAGGAAGCACAGCCCCATGTAGTGCAGGAGACTTCTCCCCGCTGCCTTCCCCACCAGCTGCCCTGTGGCAATGTGTACTGTCTGGCTGTCTGAGGACAATTTCTTGGACAGTTTTTTTAGCTGGAGAGCAAGTGCTGTGACTTTTCCAGCCAGTGACAAGCATCAGCATCTGTGGAAAATAGAGGATAAGGAGGAAGCTGGAGGGCTGAAGGGAAGTTGAAGAAAATAGATGCTCATTTTGGGTGAAACAGAGGAGCTGTTATTTGATAGTGCTGAGTAATAGCCCAGACAACTACTGAGTTGGGCACTTGAAGTACAGCATATAACAGAAAGGGGGGCAGGGACAGTGCTGTGCTTACCTCCTCCTGGAGGTGGATGGTGTTGATTCTTAACTGTCTATCTTAGCTTTTGGCATTTAAAGCCAGTAACTCTTCTGTAATTTGGAATTATTTCTATCTGGGAAGGGGGGGAAAAAATAATGTAAAATTATTCTTAGACATAACAGACATTATGTAGAAGACAAAGTTTAAGAAAAACTGCAGAAAATATTTGGGTTTGTGCTAGCGTTAATTGTTTGGGGTTTTGTTTGTTTATTTTAGATGTAACCAATATCTTGGCAAAGCAGCATTCACTCAACAAAACGCCAATCTCTGTCTATCCTTACTATATCTCACTGGGAGCAGCTCTATATGGAAAGGAAGCACCACAAATAAAGAAGCCAGATCCAATTATAGTGCCTCTGGATCTGTTTATCTGGTGTTACTTGCAGAAAAATAATAGGCTAATTGAGGCAATAGGTTCTGAAATGGCTAAGTATAATTGTGACCTAACGTGGCCTAAACCCAACTCTGCAAACCCAGAGGTTACTTTGCATCCTTCAGCTACTTTGTCTGAGCAGAAGAGATTAGCATCTCGATTGATCAAGAAATGGAATGAAAATGTTTCCACAGCATTTTCACGTAGCATATCTAAGTACGAAGCAATTACATGTGAAGCAAGTGCAGAGGTGTGGGAAGCCATTAGAAACAGCTTTACCCACAATGAAGTTCTGATCATTCCACCTACTTCCAAGGGTTTAATTGTTGTAGCAGGTGAAAAAGAAGTTGTGAAGAACGTTGAACAAGAACTGAAGGTTCTGATAGAAAAAGTCACTGGAGAAATTGAAAGAGAAAAGCAAAGAACTGAAGAAGTGGTGATGCTAGGTCCAGGGGAATATGCAATTTTACTGAGTACTGGTATTGAAGAAAAAATTCATATGGAGTTCCCAGCCCTGCAGATAACTTATGATCATTTGCAGAGGGTAATTAACCTATGTGGAATGCCTGAGGAAGTTTATAAAGTGAAAGGGGAAATACTTGAAAATATACGCAAAATGGCAAAGACAACAGTTAATATCCACCCTTATATTTTACAGTTTTTAGTGCATATTGATAATGAAACCCTGTCGCAGAGCCTGTTTATGTCAAAACAAATTAATGCCTTTTATGAGCTTGACACAGAAGCTATCATCTTGAAAGGAAGTGCTGCTGAAGATCTACAAAAAGCAGAAGAAGAAATAAAGAACGAACTGGACTACAAAAGCATTACTTTGGAGGATGAATCAGTCCTCCAGAAGAAGGAATGGAGGATGCTCACCAAGCAAAACTGTTCTAATGAAGCCATAACAGTCACTCAGGTAGCGAATCAGGTTATCATTGCTGGCTTTTCTCAGGCAGTAGCAAAAGCCTTTGAGGAACTTTATAACTTTATAGATGAAAACACACAAATGGAAAAGGTAATTGGAGGAAATCCCACAGCGGTTGTAATGTTTTTTGAGAAAGAGAAGACCAGTGTTTGGGGTGACTTAGAGAATAAAGGTGTGAAAGTTGACTTTAGCACACAGGAGAAATGTAGAGTTATAATCTTGAGGGGGCCGAGAATTGCAGTGCTGAAGGGAGCCGCCTTAGTTGAGCAAATTCTGTCTGGCCTGCATTATAAGCGTGTGGTAATTAAAGAGCCAGGAGCTGAGTCATATTTCAAAGAACGAGAACACTTTTTTGCTGCCACTGCAAAACAAGACTTTAAGTGCCTAGTGAGGCTGGAAGAGCCGTCAGAACAGCAAGAACACAGTAATATAGGCAAGCCCTATAGTCAGGTGACCATGAATGGAATCGTAATAGCAGTTTATAAAGCTGACTTGTGTACTCATCCTGTTGATGTTGTGGTAAATGCTTCTAATGAAGACTTAAAGCACATTGGTGGCCTTGCTGAGGCACTGTTAAAAGCAGCTGGTCCAGAGCTGCAACAAGAGTGTGATGAGCTGGTGAGGAAAAACGGGACTTTGCTGCCTGGGTGTGCAGTTATCACAGGTGCTGGGAAACTCCCCTGCAAGAATGTCATTCACGCTGTTGGGCCGAGGTGGAGGAAGGACAAAGCAGAAAGGTGCGTGTTCTTGTTAAGAAAGACAGTGAAGAAAAGTCTGCAGCTCGCTGAAACATTTAACCACCATTCCATAGCTCTGCCCGCTATAAGTGGAGGGATTTTTGGCTTCCCATTGGAACTGTGTACATACTCAGTTGTATCCTCCATCAAGGAGACCTTGGAAGAATCCATGGGGGACAGCAGCTTGAAGGAGGTTCATCTTGTGGATGTTGCACAGAATAATGTTCAGTATTTCAGCAAGGCACTGAGTGAAGTGTTTTCAGATTATTCACCTTCCTGCAAGTCACTGCATCAGGCCAGTACAGTTCATCAGCCTAGGAAAAGAAAAATTACTCAAAACAGCAAGAACTTCCCAGTGGTAACAACTGAGGAAGGCCTTGACATCATGCTGAAAAAAGGAAGCATTGAAAATGCCACGGTAAGTGTTTTAAATTTTCTGCTTTTAAAACATCAAGTGTTTTTTTTGTTTTTCTTTAAAAATAACCAAACACAAAACCAAAAAAAGACCAACCTTAGACCACCATCTCTAATTAGCAGTATAAACATGTTTGATATGTTACTGAAATTGGCTATTGCTGCTGTTAATAAGAATTGCTATGATATGATGACTGTCTTGCATGATAGATACAGATGACTCGGCAACATTTTGCATGACATGCATTTTGTCATCATCTGACACAGAGGCATGCAGATCCCTGTGGTACACAGTGCATTTCAGTGTAGCAGAAGCAACTCAGGTCAGCAGGTATGGTTCCGGGCTCTGAACTCCCCTGACCCCACCTGCATGCAGCATTGACCTTCCCAGAAATCCTGATTACAAACCTGGTACTACTGCAACAGCAAAAGAGGGTGCTCGGTGTCAGTTAACGCAAGTACCCTGCCGTGTGAGGGTGGCTGGGCTGCATCCTGAAACAGCACAGACATGCACGTCTGAGCCCTGGGCCCACTGCCAGTCTGGTTCTCCCTGCATCTGTAAGATATTCATGTCAGGAACTATTATTTGTTATGTCATTGGTGAACACTGGCATAAAACATGCAGTTGTTATTGCATTTCCTAGGGAGGATCAGCTTCACTAATTGATTTCCAGTTGTTTCTGGTATTGAATTGCTGTTAGTTGGCTGATAGCTACTTTACTGAAATCACCAATACTGGAAGGAGCTCCTTTCAGAACCCTTTCCCTGATGGCCAGCAAATCCTTTCAGGAGTGGATGCCTCACAGCTGGTGCATGCATCAACTGCAGTTGTCTAGGGTAGAATATACATTAAAATGTGTCTAGAGGTCCTTCCCAAGGAGTTGAGTATAGTGCTTGCCATAATGTTCATAGCCCTTTGTATTTCTGTCCCTTACCAGTTACTGCTTTTTGCACTTCTTTAACTTTCCTCCAGTCCTGTTTGTCTTCAGCATCTTCTTTTTTCCTAGACCAGCCATGCATGGGAGGTCCTGCTTACGTCAGCAAACACAGATTTATTTTTTTTTTTCATCTGCACACTTCTCTTGGAGAACAAACTTGCATAAACACTTTTCAAATGGGGGTAGAACGAGTAGACCAAGAATTCAGAATTTTAACTTTCTCCCGTTGGGTTGAAATGAATTTCACTGTTAACTCAGCCTTTGTGTTGCTTCAGGCAGGCTCATGATATTAGAATTGAGCATAACTTCTGGTTTATTCCAAAACTTTGTTCACTCTGCTGTCCCAAAATTTTGCTCTGTAAATTAGCAGGCAGGCCGTATTTTATTAATCAGTGCAAAATCTAAATTTGATACTTAAAAGCTAGAGTTTTTCCTTGTGTGTTTTTCAGACAGACGTTGTTGTCATCAGTGTTCCCAAAGATCTCCGGCTTGATAAAGGGCCACTCTCTAAAGCTTTGCTAAGCAAGGCAGGGCCAATGCTTCAGATGGGCCTAACAGGAGAAGGCCTGGGAAGAACACCTGAGGAAGGATCTGTGTTCAAAACAGGAGGTTACAATCTAGGTTGCAGTGTTGTGCTTCATGCTGTTGTACCTGCGTGGTCTCAGAGATGCCCATCTCCAAAGGTATAAGGGTTTTTATTTGCCTGAACTCCAACGTGATTGGGCTTTATAGTGGGTTTAATGCTACTTTTGCTCTGAAATAGGGGACAGCATTATAGGAGATAAGAGTTTGGTCTGTTTTTTTTTTTAACTGTGTGACTGATCCCCTGTGAAGTGCTAAGGCTTGGATAATAGGCCCAAGCCAGACCTGACCTATAGATGAATCCTGTGTATTTTATAACTGATAACCATTGTGCTAACAGGTATTATACTAAGTTATAACAAACCACCTGTTCTGTTATAAAAGGTGGAAGTGTTGAAGCCTGAGCAATGGGCCCTGAACGAAACTGTTAACTCAGTATGTAATCGTTAATGAAATATGCATGGAGGATGTAGCTATCTTGAATGTATCTTTCCCTTCTTTGTATGTGAATAGAATAAGAGTTGTGGAGACAGTTGTCTTCAGGCCTGATGTGAGACCTTGCGCATAATCTGATCAGATAAACAGAGAATCTCCCTTAGCTTCTTCCTTGAGCCCTGGCCAGGCTCCAGGGGGAACCTAATGTGAGATTGAAACCAGATGTTTCCACTTAAAATAAAGGTGCCAGCTATTCTGGCTTGCTGATTTTTGGCTATATAAAACTGGACCCGCTGACAGCGACTTTGGAAGCCTCACCTATGGGTGGATGCACCGTGTAGGATTTCCCACTTGCAGGGACAGGCTCTCCAAATCCTCGCTGTAACCGGGGCTGCCCAGCGGCTCCAGATCTGGATGATGGTAAAGTATGCAAGTGGTGACGTATCTTTCATAATCACTATTCTCTCTGTCTGGTAGTAATGATTTGATGCATTATCCTGTATTTTCCTGTTTAAGTTTGCTATTCTGTCTTTTCTTACTGTATGTTTTCTGTATTATTCTGTTATAATATTTAGTTATTTCTAGTAAAATACGCCTGCTTTTTTCACTCTGGTGTCTGAGTTTGACATCCCTAATCAGCAAAACACCTTGTTGACTAATATATACCCTGTGGTGGATGCAATTATTGTATTTTAATACCAATAGATAGCTAAAAGGGAAAGTGCTACATTGCACGTACTGGAAAAAAAATTACTTTCAGTAATTGGAAAAATAATTGTGCTTTACAGGTCTTGGGCAACATCATCACAAAATGCCTGGAGATTGCTGAGGAACTATCTTTAAAGTCAATTACTTTCCCAGCGATTGGGACAGGGAATTTAGGATTCCCAAGGTCTGTTGTTGCTAAATTACTATTTGACAAGGTATTTGAATTCAGTAGTAAAAATGGAGTAAATTCTCTTGAGGAAGTTCACTTTCTGTTGCATCCAAAAGACACAGCTAATATTCAGGTGAGTTACTGTGTTTTTCTGTCTTCTTTATATGCTGGTTTATTTAGGTCTGTCCCATGATAACTGGCTCTCTGATGATCTCCAAAGACTCAGCAGGGTGCTTGTTTTTATACTAAAGAAAATGTTTGCTGACAGTCTTTCTTGTCTGTACTCAAAGTTCTCTTTTTGGTTCTACCTGTCATGGGCACCTGCCTGTCCTGTACAGCCCTGCTCCCTTCCTATCCTCTTCTGTTCCCTGGCAGTGATACAGATAAAAGTGTAATTACTCTTTATCTCAAGAACTCACCTAATTCTTAAGTACATAGGGCTTTTCTACAGATAAATTTCCTGCAACTCTTGCATAGATGTCTTCACTCTTGGAAAAAGTAGTGCTTTCAGTGGAGAGCTAGTGTCTTTTTAGGAAGAAAAATTATGCTAGAATTGCTGTGCTGGTAAACTTCACCAGTAGAAACGTATTGGTATTCCACATCCCCCTTTCTTCAGTATCATGTTAGCACAAATTTTCTATAGCCATGGTCAAGTTACTCATCTCACACATGAATCCCTCAAAAGAGAGCAGTCACACTGTGCATTAATGTCCAAATAAGTGTTTCTGCATCTGTTCACTTCTATTTTGTGCAGTATCTAATACATCTTGAAAAGCCAAACTTGAAGGCTACTGTGCTAAAGCCTGAGCTATTGGGCACAGAGAAGGCTGGTATTAGCTGCAGGACTTGAGTTAGAGTGTAAACTAGCCCCTCAGGGTAAGGGTGCCATCTGTTAATGTATCCCTTTAGAATGGTAATTAGGTTTTTGACTTAGTTATTTATCAGTTCTGTCTGTTGCTTACACCGAACAACCTTGTGCCTGAGAACAGTGTGTCAAGACTTGCCATCAGCATTATGGCAGAGGATATGAAATAATTTCCATTAAGCTCTTTCTAAATGTGTTTTAACTTCACTTTTCAAACCTTTATGTCTACTGTGTAATCTAAAGACTGCTAAAGGGGTTGATTGTAATTGCCTTCTCTAGGAATTTTCAGATGAACTTAAGAACAGGTGTGGAAATACTGTAGATTTTGAAGTGGAACGGACTTCTCCAAATATGGCTAGCCAAGACACAGGTAAGCTTGTTTCACAGAAGTTGTGTGCCTAGTGCATTTTTAAAATTTTTTTAAATATTCCAGGGAATGCATTCATTATGGATGTTTAGGTATTTGGTGAGCATGTCATTCCCAAAGTCCAAGTAGCAGCTGGAGTGGCTGCTGTAAAGGCAGCATATAGCATTTTCAGGCTGAGTGTCTGTATATCTGAAACAGTTGGAGATGCTAAGAAAAAAAAGTACCTGTGATTTATCTGGATAGTGCCCCTACAAATATGGACAGCAGAAATTATCATGTGCCAAAGACACAAGTAGGGGTTTTTCTTTTATTGCTGCAGTACTTGATTAGATCGGGAACAGACTCTCTTCCCTCTTGGGAAGGCAGGTGAGTTTCTGGTTATGTGGCCTCTTTGGAATACTCTTAAATCCTTACACTTTCAGATGAATAGCAAAACCAAGCTGAAGTATCTTTGTTGTCCAGTCTAATGGAAGTGCAGAGTGCAGAAAATTAGATACATGTTGAAAACTTAATCAAGTTTTTCCAAATAACACATAGATAAAAAGTTCCTGTCACACAGTAGAGAATGGCCCTGAAAACTCTTGAGACAGAGGAGCAAGGGCATGAGACTTGGAAAGTTTGCTGCTTTCTTACCTGGGTGTTTTGCAAAGTCTTATATTATAAAATGTCACAAAGTAGTGTCTGTATACTAGGTGTGCAACGAAACCAAGTTTTTTCTGCCATCTCAGTGTGAATAGCAATGATGGGTTGATCAGAGACTCCTGTGAGAAGAATTGATTTTTCAGTTAACGTGGCAGGCAGTCCTTTTCACAGGCTGAGTCTGGAGCCAAACTGTGGTCTCTGTAAGCGTTGTCCCCACATACAAGTCCTTTATCTCTTATCTCACTGCTCCTTTCTGCTCATGGTCTATGTTTCTTTCCTGCAGTTTCCTCTAGAACCTCTTCAACCCCAGCAGAGGACGTACATGAAATGACATTTGGCTCTGTTGTGTTCCGGGTGGCAGAAGGTGATATTACCAAAGAAGAGGGCGATGCCATTGTAAACATAACAAACCAAACTTTCAGCCTCAAAACAGGTATTTTAGTTTATATTATGTGTGAAAAGAGGATGTGTGGTTGGAAGGGCTGCATAAGGAGAGTAGGAAGTATTTTTTTCAGTGTTTCAAATCTTTTTGTTTCACAGTGTAATTTCTGGTTTGCTTCTTAGGGTACAAAGGTTCAATTAGGAAGTGTCTGAGACTTTCTTGTTAATCTGTGTTACAGAATGGCATGTTTAAGACTCTTGCAGAAAGGGAAACTTAATTTTATTTTTTTTGTGTAGAATATTTTTATAGAACATCTCTTGGACTAAAGGGAAGACAAACCTCAATGAGGTATTTACCTCAGTGAAACTTGTTAGATACTTTAGATGTCACTCTGAATTGAAAAGCATAAGCCTAAAATTTAGGTAACAGTGCTTTTCACTTAAAACCTTTACTATTACCAGGATTGAGACATTTTAGATAAAATTTAAAAATATTATTTAGATATTATATGGGACTTTAACGACATTAACAGTAGTAACAGTGGATTTATATGCCTCTTCTCTTTTAAGGTGTCTCTAGAGCAATTCTGAATGGTGCTGGAAAAGAAGTTGAAGATGAATGTGCTCAACTAGGTATGATACAACATTTCTGACCTCCTTTCTGAAGGTGTTCATGCACGGCATGGAATCTGTTGGAATACTTTCTCAGTGCCTACTGTACATCCCATTTGTATTATGCACTGTGTTACATCAGCTAGTTTTTAATCAGTCAATGTGATACTTGTAAAACATCTAATGAGGGAAGGAAAAGAAAAATCTTCAAGAAGAGAGGGCTTCTGAGCATATGTAAAGAACTAAACCTATCCATTACGCATCCTCTTATTCCATTAAAGCTTTCCATGATAAAAACAAGTCGAGTCTACACTGAACAAAGCCATGAGGAAGGGATGATGTTGGCAGCAATGTTAATAGAGAAGCTATACCTCACTGGAAGCAACTATCTATCTTCAACTCCTTTTGTCATTCCTGAGTGAGAAAATGCTTGCTGTTGCCTTAACTAGCAACCCACTACCATATCATCTGTGTGATCAAGAGGAAAAATGAGTGAAGTTGGATTCCTGCCTCAGAAGAGGCATTTATTTGTAGACCAAATTGAGTTAGTGAACAGAAAATCTAATGAATGGGGAGTAAGAATGGACAAGTGTGTGGTTTAAAACCCCATTAAATAAGGGAAGTGGGAAAGGCTGGTGTGGAGGTTAGCTTGGAAGACCAACCAAAGGAAAAGAGTTATGTGGAGGAGATAAGAGGTAAACCTCTACTTGGAAGGTCAAGAGTGTAATTCAGGCTAGGCAGCCTGAGGGTAGATGGCATACTTGCATGTGTATGAAGACAGAGGGTAGAAGTAGTCTGCATTAAGTTCTTCAAGTCTGCAGAGCAGACTTGACAAATAAAGACCCACAAAATTTATTTGCCAAATGAGGCAAATATTTTACAAACATAAAATGAATCTTTGTGCCTTGAAAGTGAAAATAGAGAGAGAGAGGGTTGCACAGTTTGTGGAAGGAGACTTGAAGCTTATCCTGGGGCATATTTATTATAATTTCTTATCTCCTAGTGAGGATTAGCACACATCTATATTGTGAATAGTTGTTGATTGATTATGTTCTCCTACTTATGTTTCAGCCTCACAGTCTAACAAGAGCTATATCATCACCCAAGCAGGAAGCCTGCCATGCAAAAAAATAATTCATTTTGTTTCCCAAGATGATATCAAGCTGCTAGTCTCCGAAGTGCTTCAGGAGTGTGAATTACAGCAGTACACCTCTGTAACCTTCCCAGCAATTGGAACAGGTCTGACTCCCCTTTGAAATGTTTCAGTCCCTGTGATTCTGCTGATCTCAGGGTTCAAGCAATGGGTTTGATTTATCTGAAGGGGTTATTCTTTGGTGAAAATAAATGCAGAAGCTGTGGACTTTAAAATTGTTATTAGAAGCTTATGAAGACCTTATGAAGACCTTCATAAGTGAAGCTTATGAAGAAAGCTTCACTCCTGATTAGTATGTAAAGAGTATGAGCACTCTAGAGCTGACACTTCCTTGCTAACAGGGGTTCAAAGGTATGTCTGTGCTTCTTGGAGAACTGTAAATATTTGTCACAGCAGCTTGATATGTGTGGGCAGCTCATCAGAGAATATCCAGGGACCTACTTCTCCATTGCTGAAATCAGTAGATGATGCAACTCTGGCTAGCACAGATAGGGTTGCACAGGTAGGGTTGATACAGATGGAATGTGACCTGTTCAAAAGGCTAGATTGTCCCTTTTTCTTCTCATTGATTTAGCTAGATCAGTAGAAATCCCTAGAGTCAGAGAATCCAGAACTGGGCCCCATGCACACAGGGATCTCTTGTATGAATAAAACCAGACTTTTTTTTTGAGCAAAGAGTTGGCTACTGGGCCACTGAGTGTCAGGCCTGTGGCCTATTCGGTAACCAAGCAATGTCATCTACATCATAACCTGATCAGTCCCATGTCAATAGAAGTAAACTTTCTTGCTAGAAAGGTGGTCTTGAACCTCCTTTTCCTCATAAACAGCAACCTTCGCTAAATAGCCAGCCTGAAGTTATTTCTGACTTGTTTGTGGTCCAAGTGATTATGGGTATGTTCATAACTGTTCTTTTAAAGATGTTTTAACCATTTGTAACAACAGTTATCAATGCTTTTTTAAAGGCAAAATATTTATAACTTGTTTCAGGTGAGGCAGGCCGTGATCCAGCTGTAGTAGCTGACAACATGATAGATGCAGTAATGGACTTTGCAAAAAGTAACTCTGCTCCATCTGTGAAAACTATTAAAGTTGTCATCTTTCAGCCACATTTGCTGACTGTGTTCCATACAAGCATGCAGAAAAGACAAAATCCTGCTAAAAGAGCAGCCAAATACCTGTTTTCCAAGATAACGTGTAAGTAGATGTCACTTAAATACAGGATATGGATCAATCTGTTTAGCACCAGCTGATAATGGTTAATATTAATTACAACATTTGTGTATTTCAATGTAGCATTCTGGAGCTCTGAGAAATGTTCCCCAAAGGAAAAAACCGAAGCAGTTTTGGAAAACAAAATTGAAGTGGCTGTTGTGCAGATTTGTGGTGAAAACAAAAAGAAAGTGGAAGAAGCTGAAAGCTGGTTGAGAAGTACAATTTTAAAGGAACAGTTTAAAACAGAAATTTCAGATGAGTCTATCTCTCATTTCGGTGAAGTGGAGAGAGAGGAACTGCATAACCTACAAAAATTAAAAATTAGTCTTCGTTTGGTTAATACCACTATTCGAATTTCAGGTGTTGAGAAAGATGTCTGGATTGCTTATTCAGCCATTCAAGAAATGATCCACAGGGTAAAAGCTGCTAAACAGGAAGAGAGCAGGGCAGAACTTTTACAAAATATAATTGAGTGGAAATATCTGGAAAAGGATTCCTATGTGCCCTTTGATAGTCTCACAAATATGCAGTTGGAAAATGCTTTCACGGGAAAGCAGAAGAATATTTCAGTCGTCATTGATAAGAAAAAACACACAGTGGATATAGAAGCTAAATCTGCTGTGGATAACCAGGGAAAATGTATACCCATTATACGTGTTAATAAATCTGAAGGTAAGTAAAAGCATCTGGTGAGACTGATGTTCTCATGTTAAAAACAGGTTGCATCCAGCCTAGTAAGAGTCAGAAAAGGTAAGAATATGCAAAATATTGTTAAGGAGCTTTGTGCAGGTCCATTTCTGGAGAATGTAGAAAGGAACTGAATTGGGAAATTAAAATAAAAGAATCTTTTGGAAATGTAGGTAAGGTGTTCTGAGGCTCTTACAGGCTTACTAGCAATAATTAGATGTCTGTAGCAGGTGTCATTCTAGATCTCAGCTCATTTCTGTTCTTGAGATGTACACTTCTATTTACTTCTTTATAAGGTCCTTTATAAGGAGCTACCTGTTTCTTATTCATCCATACAGGACTCTTCCCAGAGTATTATTTTTCTTTGTCCTGTTGTGACTCAGTTTTACAGGGGCATATTTTATATCTTGAGGGGAACAGTTTTGTCCTCTTAACACTTGAAAGTGGACAGGTTTAAGTAACTGTGCAGCTCCTAGTGCCTTAGTAATGCCTCCTGCACATATTTTCAGATTTTTATTTTTTTGTTCCCTTACCAAAAAATGTCACTTCTAATTGAGGCAATTAGCTATAATGCTGGATGTCTGTAGTGTATGCATCAGTCAGTGTTACTGTTTGATAATACAGCTAGATATTAGGCCTCGCATGAAATGAGAGAAGGGAAGAAAGGGAAGAGTTCCGCTTTTCAGATGGAGCGTATATCCTTGAACTTTTAAATTTAAAACCTTCCTTGTTCAGATGCTTAGCTCCTAGTCTCCAAGTTGATGAGAATTAACTACTCGGTAAGTCTGCATTTGCTCCATGTCCTTGAAAACTTGATTTACAGGGAAGGCTACTGGTAAAAGATGTTTCAAAGGATCTATCTTCAGCCGTGAAGAACAGATTTGTCTAGAAACTACCCATTCAGGCACATCAATTGCCAATGTAGTCGCAAACTAGAAACTAGAGTGCCCTAATCCTTTGGTGAAAGACCCATGGAATACTCTTGACTGACTGAGACCAGTAGGCACTAGTGATAAGATGGGTGTATGGGCTTTTAGAAGGGCTTGTAGCAGGGCATATTTCATTTCAAGCAGAGGATTTGGGTAAATATGATTGATTATGTTAATTCTGCAGATCAAGAGTCAACAGTACTCCCTGCAACATGGGATGATATGCAAGACCAGCGACTCAAAATAGTGGAACTAAAACCACAAACAAGAGAGTATAAAGATGTGCAGGAAAGGTTTCTGAAGACCTGTCAGTCATTTAAAATTGAAAAGGTAAAAGCATGTCATCATTTCTGAGCATAAATACTTTGATAGCAAGTGATGAAGAATACTAATAGCAATGGAAAAATGAATTTCACTGGGATTTCTGAAGTTGGACAAGTATTTTTGGCTCAGTAACTTTAATCAGCATCAGTTTACTGTTGCAGTTATTTGGAGAAACTTAACCAGTTGCTTCTGCAGCACCAAGGGAGAGTATTCTTTCTTTAAATTATGTTTGCTCTAGTAGAGCACAGCATTACTTGCTTAAGCCACATGTGCTTTGCAGGTAGGCATCTATGCCCCAGAAACCTGTGAAACTGTCCTATATTGTTTCCCATGGAGTGTTTCTGTCGTTTGAGGCTGGCTTCTGCTGTCCATAGTACCAAAGTTTGGAGTGATTTGACTACCCTATTTCATAATCTGGTGTACATACACTAGAGCTAGGAGGAGAATCTTGGAATCAGATTGAATTGTGATACGCTAATTTTTTTCATGACAGCAACCTTCTTTCTGTCTGTCTCTCAAAATTTGCAGATTGAAAGAGTACAGAACCCATTTTTTTGGAAGGCCTACAAAATAAAAAAGTGTGAAATGGATAACAAAAATGGTAACACAAATAACGAGAGGCTTCTGTTTCATGGGACAAGTAAAGAGTCATTAACCTTAATTAACAACCATGGATTTAATCGGAGCTATGCTGGAATGCACGGTAATGTGAACTTCAAAACAACTCTTGTTTTCCTGAATAGGGCTAGGACAGATGGCATGGCATCTGTATCATCCTGCCTTGTATGCAAAATTATTTGTTTTGTTATATCTTCTTATTGCAAATAAAAAGCAAAACTGCCAAGAGAGTCACAGGCTCTGAAGATGGCAGATAAGCGATTGCTGCTAATGAAATGCTCATAAACATTTGTTTTTCTGACTACAGCTGCAAACTTTGGAAATGGAACATACTTTGCTGTTGACGCCAGCTATTCTGCCTCTGACACCTACTCTAGACCAGATGCGAATGGGAGGAAGTACATGTATTTGGCTCGAGTCCTTGTTGGAGAATATTCTCAGGGGACAAAAGGATCAATTACTCCAGGGGCAAAAAATGCTAGTAACTCCATAGATCTGTTTGATAGTTCAACCGATAATGTGAACCAGCCATCCATGTTCATCATATTTAATGACATTCAAGCTTACCCAGAATACCTTATCACTTTCACTAAATAAGGGTTTTGATTGAAGCTAAGGTTGCATGTATTTCAGTCTGGGTATAGGACAGAAACACTTATAATGAAATACACAATGAAAATAGTTTTATCAAATTGATTTTTTTAAAGCTCGTTTACATTTAAGCAACCTTTGGCACTTTTTGATGGCACTGAAAATAGACTGCTTGTTTACGCAAGGAGTAGCTGAACGTTTTAACATGTGAGCTCAAAATAACCACTGTTAGGTTACAGATCAAGTCTTTATATTGTGTTAGCTTTTCCGTGCGCCCTTATGGCCACCCTAGTTGTGCTAGGAAGTGGGCAATGCTGGCACGGGAGTGGAAGGGATCTTTCAGCCGCTAACCCCTCAGTGTTGCATTTCTGATGGCTTCCTACACTCTGTAACTGACAGTCTGCATCATTAATGATGATACAGTGGTTTTCATTAAATGAACTAATTGTAGTTAATGTCTTGTGTTTGTCTAAACCTTTCCAAATATTTAGCATTGGTTTTCAACCAGTGAACTTCAATGAACTTGCTGGTTTTTAGTGCAATAACCCTCCCTGGCAGGTTAATAAGAGGTTCTACAGAATGTTATAGAAGTTGCCTGAGTTAAACCATAGAGCAGTTTGGGGGAGGTTTTTAAGCCTTAAAATAAATAGGTTATCTCAAAGGGGTGATCATTATCAAGCCAGAGTTTGGAGTTCTGTGTTGGGGGGGAGAAACAAAGCAACATCATCTTTGTAGCATGTTGGTGGAATAAAGATGCCTCTCACAGCCTTTGATATTGTAAGATCTTCCAGTGAAAAAAGTGATTCATCACCTCCAAATTCTGAAAACCCTTGGCTCCTCTGAATGTATCAGGTTTGACTTCTTAAGAGAAAATCTTCCAATACTTGCTTTATGTTGCTTTTACTTCAAAGTTTTACTGTGGCTTGGTGTGTCCACGCAAGTGATAATCATTGCAGGGTAAACATTGCTTTCTAGGGAAGGCTTGAGAGACCTGCAAGTATCTCAGTAGAGCCATAAGCATGGGGCTGTTGTTCACACCCCAGCCCATGACTCCCTCTGCAACAGTGCTGGAACCACTTGCTTTGGGCATATTGCTTTTGATTACATCAGGTTTTTAACTGCTGAAAAATGATGACTGTTGAATTCCTAGTGCTTGAAATCAAGATATGGATGTGGGGGCCAAAAGTCATAAATTTTTCTTTTAAAATTAATAATCAATTCCTGTAACAAATACCTGAAGTTACTGTGTTGAAGGTTAAACTTGTAGAACACTGTAGCAATATAGTACTTTAAAGAAAGATGTTCTTTGTATAAGCTAAAGGCATCCCTAGTCAGAAGAACAACTAGATAGCTGCCTTTGAGTAAGGACAGCCCGCAGCCGTTAGACCTTGAAAAGGGTGCAAGCAAACTCAAGGTCGATGTATCCTTAGCTGACTTACCCTTGTTATAATACTAAAAATCACACCTATAGATCAAGAAGACCCTTGCCCAGGTGAAGACCCTTGCTATGAGCATGTGTGGTACTCGAAGTATCGTACAGCAGTGTTATAATTGTATGTAAATTACTAACCAATCACTGTAGAGGGGATGGACTTGGAAAATTACTAACTCTGCAAGTTTTGTGTATAAATACAGCTTGAAAAGTCATGTTGGTGTGTCTGATTTGTGGAAAACAACTGAGCGCTTAGGCTTGCACAACCCTAAAACAGATAAGCAATGTCTCTCCTGAGTCAGCGACTGTTGACCTGTTGCACACGGGGTGAGGAGTCCCTTGTTGAACATCAGCTGTCCATTAGCGTGGCAGGAGCCAGCAGTGCTGGCTCAGGGGCTTTCACTGCAGCTGGTGGGTCCCTTTGTTTCCAGGAGACAGTAAAGCCTCCGTTCACAGCTTCTCCATCACCGTGAGGAGCTGTGGACAGCACCAAGGGTTTTTTTCACCGGTGCTTGTGCTACAGGTGCCTGGAGTGTCAAGCACAGAGCAGAAACCTGTAGCACTGGGCTCAGTGCAGGCGATGAGTGAAAGAAGGTGTTTCTCCAGACGAGTTTGTTACAAGGGAAAGGCAAGGGGGGAGGCGGAAGAGGTGACGGCGGCCTGGTTCCTCCGGCAGCCTGAGGGGCTTCCAGCTCCGGCGCGGGGAGCCGGAGGACATTTTGTAAGGCGAAGGCAGTGCCTGAGGCGGCTGCGTGTGTGCTGGGAAGTTCTGGCAGGGAAAGGAGCGTTAAGGGCGCGGGTTGAAGCTGTGACCGGCGGGAGCCGCCC